TTCATCATGAGCTCGATCCTGAACCTGGCGGGCGGCCTGCTGGGTGCGTGGTTCAGCGTCGCTTAGGGCCCCCCACCGTGGGGACACCGTCGAACGAGTCCATGTCGTCGCTGTCGGCGCCGGGGACGTCCCACTGGGCCCCGCGCGGGTGCTGCTCCAGCACAGGATGCGAGAGCGTTGGCGCCCCATGGCCCAACGCCAGCAGCGTGCCAGGCGCAGCATGCCCAGCTGGGGTAGCTGGGGCCGCCACGCCCACCTGCTGCCCAGTGGGGCCGCGGCGGCCGCGGCCTGGCGGGACGGGCGCCAGCCTGGGCAAGGCCGAACCCATGCGGCGCCAGCGCACGCCCGCCGACCATCACCCCCAGCAGCCGTTCGCACGCCTGCGCGCAGGCCAGGTTCTCGGACGACATGCCAGCCTGACAGGGTGCCCTGGCCTGGCCAAGCGCAGTTTCGGCCGCCTGCAGCTCGCCTCCGGCCGCCGCTGTGGGGGCCACCGCCACCGAAACCCTGGCCCTCGCTTCGTCGCACTCGTCCTGGGGCCCTCGGGCGGCGTCCTGCTGCTCAGCGACTCTGACCATGGCATTGACCGCGTCTGCTTCGAGCCGAGCCAGTTTCTGGCGGGACTGAACGACGTGAGTGCTGAGAGTGCCAACGTCCTGAAATGCTTGCCAGACCTCCAGAGCGGGCTGAGCCAACCCCGAGGCCGCGAGCGCTCGACGATGAAGCACTGCATCCTTCTGAAATTGGGAGAGAGCGCCGCACAATGCCTGGAACAGCTGGGCACTGAGATCCATCCAGGTCCTCTGCTCAATCTCCGGAGGCTTAAGAGAAAACGCATGAAGAACACGAGGCTTGGCCGCACCGCGCTTGTAGCACTCAATGCGCCACTCATACTCGTCCTTGAAGCCACATCTCTCATCTGGACACGTCGACGTGTTCCGTAACCATATATAGCCTTTTGCCATCGGAACGGCCCACGAGACTGGAGACATGGCAGAACGGCGATCACATGGCGGAGCTGCAAAGTTTCAAGCTCGGGTCCTTCGAGCCTGCCCCTCGGCTGCACACGAGCACGAACCACCACTGCCAATGTTTCGTATTTGAGCCAATGTGGCTACGTCCTCCTCCTCCTCCTCTTCCTCTTCCTCCTCCTCCTCCTCCTCCTCCTCCTCCTCTGCCTCTTAACCTTCCCCTGCCTTGTCGCCTCTTCCCCTCCCCGCTCGCTTCAGGCAGGACGGATGAAAGCAGGGGGAGCAGGAAAAGGGGGCAGGGGGGGAGGAAAATTATATAAAAGAGAGAGAGAGAGAGAGAGAGGGGGGGGGGCAGGCTTTCCTTGCAAATCGCACAGAAGGGCTGGGAGCTAGCACGATCCCCAATCGGTCCCCAATCCCCCAGAGGGAGGAAGGAGGGGGACCAATGGCGAGGACGATGGGGGATGATGGCGAACTGGAAAGAATGGAGGCAGGGTGGGGAGAAGAGGGGGGGGACGAGGAACGCAAAGGAGGAGGAGGAGGAGGAGGAAGAGGAGGAAGAGGAGGAGGGGCGAAGAAGACAACAAAGGGAAGTGAGGTCCCTGCAACAGGCAGTTCGAATCACGCGTTCGTCTTTAATTTTGGCCCTGGTGGACCTTTGTCGGTCCACGATGCGGACGCAATTCAACCTGTGTAGCGCATACTAGGAATGACAGAATTATGATCAGAGGAGGGGGGTGGCTGGGAGAAGGCTGGGATGAGGGGGCGAAGAGGACGACGGGAGGAGAGGGAGAGAAAAAAGAGGAGGAGAAGGCAGAGGATGAGGACTGAGGAGGAGGAAGGGAAAGAGGAGGGGAATGAGGAGGGGGAAGGGAAGAAAGGGGAGGAGACGCAAATGAGGGAAAAGGGATGGAGGGAAACAGAAACGGAAGGAGATGTTGAGAACGGATTAGGAGGAGGAAAAGGAAAATGGTGATATGCATTACTCGACCCACGCGCAAGCTTCGAGCGTCTAGGTTCTAGCAAGTACCGCCTTTGACAAACTCAGAACTGCTTGTATGCACGCACATACTCAAACGCGAAATGGCAATACGTTGAATAATCACACTTGCACATACCGAGCATATACACATTACCAACATAAGTGTGCCCAAACAATTCAAAACCACGCAATGCAAAACCGTGCAACGCCGCGAAATGAATTGAATGCGTTGCAGCGGCAGTGACATGCAGGCAAACACACATTGTCCGGTTAAGCAAATGTAGCAGAAACTCATCGCAATGGCAGGAGACGAAACACACATGTCAAGGAGCAGTTCCCAAAGTAACTATAATGCAATTCGATGCAATGCAAATCTAGACGTACGGGAATAATGTAAAGGAATACGCTGCGAAGCATCAATAAACAGTACACACGCAATGAAAAAATGCATTGCGATCGACTACAAATAAAAAGCGCCCGACGAACTCGACAAACCAGGGCACGTTGAGCTCAGATGGCGTAGGGACCGGGAATCCGACGAAAGAGCCCTGGGAATCTGGGCTGGAGGTCCTCAATGCCACCAGGTCCCCTGCACTGAGAAGGGCTAGTGCACAGAGGAAGGGCTAGAGAGGAAGGGTTAGAGAGGAGAGGGCGAGGCCGCTCCGGGCCATTCCAAGTGGTAACCGGTCCGTCCTCCCACCCTGCCTGCCTTCCGGGTCAGAGCTCGTTGGGTGCCTGTCGGGGCCTCTCGGGATATCTCTGGGGGGCCTCTTGGAGGCAGCTTGGAGCCTCTGGGGACCTTCTGGGGCCCCATTAGGGCTCTCTGAGCAACCCGTTGGAACATCGTGGGGCCATCTTGGGTCATCTTGGGTGGTTTGGGGGGGCCTCGGGGTGGTATCGGAAGTCCTTTTGAGGCGGCGGGGCCCGAGGTGTCCGTTCGAGTTCCCCTTTTTGGGCTTCTCCTGGGGTTTCTTCGGGCGTTCTTGAGCTGCTTAGGGGCTCTTTGGGGGGCCTCTTTGGCTGTCCCTGTGGCGTAGTAGGGTCTCTTGGGAATTCTGGAGTCTCCTGGGCCGTCCTGGATGCCGCGGAAAAACTAAAAACAAGTAGCATGCACACGTGTAAGCTGACCTTCAGGAGTACCGCGATTCTTGCGTCTTTGGGCCATCTTGCAGGTCCTCTTGCAACCGCCCTGGGGCGTCTGGGAGGGCAGGTGAGCCGTTTTGACGCTCCCTGGGCCCTTCTGGAAGCCACGCGAGGCATCTTGAGGCCTTCTGGTGTCTCTTCGACGCCACTGATGCCCATATTGGCTGCCTCTTGGCGCCCTCTGAGGCCACCGAAGACGCCATGGAGGCTCTGATAGTGCCCCGGGCCCCCAGGGGCAAAGTTTGACGCCAACGGGGGGGGAACAGCGCAGCCCTTGGGCCCCGGGAGCCCGACGACAGCTGTATGTATGTACGTATGTATGTGTGCATGCATGCATGTATGTATAAATGCACGAATGCACGTGTGCGTATGTATGAAAATATGTATATGTGCGTATGCATGTATGTGTATATATGTGCATATTGAATATTACATATGTATATGTATGCATGGATGTGTACGTATGGATGTACGAGCGTACATGTGTATGTATGTATGTATATATATATATATATATACACAAATGTACGTGTGTATATAAGCATGTATACATATGCGTGCTAACATCTGTGTAGACCTAGGTGTGTATGCATGTATGTATGTACGCATGCATGCATATGTGTATGCATGTATGTGTGAATGAACATGTGTATAAACGTGAGTGTGTTGTAGGTATGTGTGTATGTATATGTATGTGTATGTGTGAATGTCTGCAACTATGTATGATATGTGTATGTATGTTTGTGAATGTGTATATGCGCAAATGTGTGTTTATGTGTGTATGTATATGTGTATGTATTGGTTTACGTGTGCACGTGCGAACAATTATGTGTATAGTGGTGTATGCATGCATACCTGCATGTATGTGCGTATGTACGAAAATGTGTATCGATGACTGTATGCAGGTATGTATGTAGTCATGTGTGTATGTAAATAAACATATGTGTGTATGTATGTATGTGTGTTTGTGTGTGTAGGTGCCTGGCTGCATGTCTGAACATGTGTATATATGTCGGCGGTGCCAGGTGCGGAGCGACCCCCCCCCCGGTAATCTCTCCTGGGGGGGTTCGAGCTGGCACCATTCCCGGTGCGAGCCTGCACGAACCCCCCCGGTAAACACGACCTCCTCTGGTAGGCTGCACGAAACCCCCAGGTAAAGACGCAACCCATCCGTAAGCGGCGCGCTCCCGGCACGCGCGAACCCCAGCCCCGACGCGCGAATCTTACCAGGACGGGCCGAACACGGCGGCGGCATTGCATCCCAGGGCCGTGCCGGAACACGGCGGCACTGTTCTTCTCTACGCGGCCGTGCCGTCGACCCCCCACAGCGGCTCTCGGGAGTTGCACCGCAGCCTCTCGTATTGTGGCCACGAGCCACAATACGAGAGGCTGCGGCGGAACAAAGGCGAGCAGACGCACAAAAAAACAACGGCGAGCACACGCCGCTCCTCGCAGGACCAACCCTTCCCCTTCCGCCCCCCTGGGCCCGCCCCCCCCCCCCACCCCGCCCCCCCGTCCACCCCCCCAACTCCAGGGGGGGGGGGGGGGCCCGGGCCAAGTTAAACGCAGTGCGGCCTGCACGAACCCCCCCGGTAAAGCGACAGGGGAGGACCCAATGCGGCCTGCACGAACCCCCCCGGTAAAGCGGCCAGGGGGGGGTGTTCTAAGCCGCTGGCGCCACCCGGTGCGGGCTGCACGAACCCCCCCGGTAGTGCACGAAACCCCCCGGTAGTGCTGGGGGGGGGGGTCGTGCCACGGCGCACCGCCAACATATATGTTTGTTTGTTTGTGTGTTTGTATACATGTATGTGTGTATGTATGTCTATGGGCGTCGTGGGAGAGGGCGAAATCGGAGATTAGGGAGGAGGGGCGAAGACGAGGACCATGGAAGAGGAGCAGGCCTTTCAGAGCTCCGACCCGCGGCCCTTTCCCTTGCGCTGCTCGGGGTCACACTCGCGGGACTGCGCGGTGCGCTGCTTGCAGGTGGAGTAGGCCTCCATCATGATCTTGCACTCCCGCTCCTCGTTGCACTCATCCATCTTGCACCCCTTCATACACTTCTGGAAGGCCTTCTGCTCCTTCCTGCTCATCTCCTGCATGCGGCACTCCTGCGTGAGGGTGCAGTTGTTCATGCAGGAGACCACCTTAGCAGCTCGCAATTCCGCCATTCTTCCAGGCACCTCTAGGTGCTCCCAGAAGGTGGGTCTGTGCACCCAGTATCGCCGAAAGTCGTCGTCATACTCGTCCTGCCAGAACTTGATGAAGGCATCCCCGTCCTGGTCGATGCGGATCACTCGTCCCGTCATGCCCTTTGACACCTCCGAGGGAGACTCGTCGTCGGACTGGAAGTCGGATCGGACGCGCACCTTCTCCCCCTTGTGGAGGCGGCCCATCACCAGCTCTCGACAGTGGAAGGTCCGGGAGCTGACAGGAGTGTCTCTGGCCCGAGGTGCCCCCGGGCTCCGGGGCCGCTTGTTAGCATAAGGCATCTGATCCTCCTGCTCCCACCTCCCTGCTCCCTCCTCCGTCCTCCCTCCTCCCCCTCCCCCTCCCCCTCCACCCTCCCTCTCCTCCTCCTCCTCCTCCTCCTCCTCCTCCTCCTCCTCCTCCTCCTCCTCCTCCTCCTCCTCCTCCATCCTCCCCCTCTTGGGTATGACGGCTTCCCAGCCTGTATTCCATTGCATGCTCCTCCACATCCCTGATCAGGGCAACTCGCATGGACATGGTTTCTGGATGGGCTGGTGGGGTTACGCTTGGGTCGGGCGTGTCCTCCTAGAGGCGGATCTGGGACGAAAAATAAGCACTATCCCAAAAATGTTCAAAAATACCCAAACATGGTCAACACATCGGCCCCAGACTGTCTATTGACTATTTTTGCTGATTCCTTCTGTAGAGGAACATGCCCCGAGTTTAGAGGACAAGTAGAAAATGGTCAAACATGATCAGCAGTGATCAACGTTTTTTAACACGACAAACGAGCAGGGGAGAAGAAGAAATCCGCTGCCCCCTCAAGAGGGCTATCCTGGCAACGCGCCCGAAAGATGACGACTGCGGCGCATAACACAGAAGGCAAAACCGTGAAGAATCCGCGAAGCACGGGCACGAACAGCAGGGTTGTCCTGCGAACGTGGCCTTTTGATCAGCAGTGACCAAAATCGGGGATGGACAGACCCCCCTTTAGTAAAACGTGGTTTAGTGAAAACGACCTGAGGCCCAAACCTGGCGTTCGCAAGCCTGGAAAATAACGGCCACGGCGATCTCTCGAAAACCGAAAGAGGACAATTCACTAATCGACGTGTCACTGTTGGGGGTTCTGTCCACCCCCGAAAATAGTCAAACATGATCAGCAGTGATCAGAAGTGATAGGGAAACCGTCCCAGAAGCCCTGCCGTCCCCGCCCGACCCCCCACGCCCACCCCGAATCACCCACAGCTTATGGGAGGGGTGGGCGATTGCCTCCTCCTCCTCCTCCTTCTCCTCCTCCTCCTCGTCCTCGTCCTCCATCCTACCTCCTCCTCCTCCTCCTCCTCCTCCTCGTCCTCCATCCTCCTCCTCCTCCTCCTCCTCCTCCTCCTCCTCCTCCTCCTCGTCCTCCATCCTACCTCCTCCTCCTCCTCGTCCTCCATCCTGCTCCTCCTCCTCCTCCTCCTCCTCCTCCTCGTCCTCCATCCTACCTCCTCCTCCTCTCTCCTCAATCCTCTCCTCCTCCTCCTCCTCCTCGTCCTCTATCTATCCTACCTCCTCCTCCTCCTCCTCCTCCTCCTCCTCGTCCTCGTCCTCCTCCTCCTCCTCCTCCTCGTCCTCCATCCTCCTCCTCCTCCTACTCCTCCTCCTCCTCCTCCTTCTCCTCCTCCTCCTCCTCCATCCTACCTCCTCCTCCTCCTCAACCTCCTGCAGAGGGACATGCCCGCCCCATAGTTCTCAAGGCTACGGCCCGGGCCTCCTCACGGGCCGCCCGGACGGTGCGCGGCCCCCCCCCCCCCCCCCAGTGAGAACGCCCTCGACGCGGCGCGGGCGCGGCTGCCGGAAAGGCCACCCCGAGGCCGGAAGGCCTCCTGGTCGTCGTCGTCGTCGTCGTCGTCGTCGTCGTCGTCGTCGTCGTCGTCGTCGTCGTCCTCGTCGTCCTCGTCGTCCTCGTCGTCCTCGTCGTCCTCGTCGTCGCCGTCGTCGTCGTCGTCGTCCTCGTCGTCGTCCTCGTCGTCGTCGTCGTCCCTGGGCTCTGCCGGGTGCCGGGCCAAGGACCGCTCCGTCTGGCGCCCGGGGAAATCGTGGCAGCCAATTTCCTGCGCGCAGCATCTCCGATACTGCGCGCGCTCGCAGCTGTCCGCGCCCTCGGGGAAGCAGCCTCGCGGCGGACGCCGAGAGACGTCGACTACGGCGGCGGCGACGGCGGCGGCGAATATGTCGACGACGTCAACGGCGACGACGGCAGCGATGATGGCAACGACGACAACGCCGACGACGACGACGGCGGCGGCAGCAACGACGGCGGCGACGACGACGGCAACGACGTTCTCACCAGGAAAGGCGCCATGACATTTTGTGATCGGCCGCCAGGGAAAATACACCCTTACCACGTATGGAGCGTGCAGGCACGGTGCTCACTCGAGCGCAGGACCGAGCTCAAGGGCGTGCCTGCAACGAACGACGACTACGACGGACGGCGGGGGCGACGGCAGAGGCGGCGGCAGCGACGACGGCGGCGAGGACGAAGACGACGGCAACAAAGGGGAAATATAAATAAGAGTGCCCAGCGAAAACGAAGACGAGGCAGAACGAGTAGCGGTAATATTTGAAAAATGGCAGGCTTAACAGATGTGTCGGGCGCCGCGGCCATTTCAAAGCGCACCAGAATGCTCCGAGGGCGCTCCAAGACGCTCTGGGGCGTTTTACTATCATCCTAGGCCTGCCATGAACAAGCCCCGCAAGCCGCCTAGAATGCGGATATGACCCTCGAGGTCCCGGATCCCCTGCTGGGGAATCGAGGAACGCGGAGGATCGAACACCCAGGACCGAGGAAGCTCGATTTCACCGGAGAAGGTAGCCAGAAAGAAGGGAGGTCAGCGCATCATGGCCTTAAGCGCGAGCGTGCGCGCGAGGATCGTGGAGGATGGAGGATCCACGACCGACGGAGCTCGATTGCGCCGAAGAGGGTGGCCAGGAAAAAAAGGAGGTCAGCGTATCATGGCCCGAACCGCGCGCGCGGAAGAAGAGCGTCCGAAAAGAAAAAGAGCAACAAAAACAGGCCATGAAACCGCCACGGTATCCAAACACGTCCGCAACTAAGGCGACGCCAGGACGAGGTTAAAACCCTGTGAGGGTAAACCGAGAACTTCTGAGATCCACCGGTTCTGGAGGATACCTCGGGCGCCGCGGCCTTCTCAGATCGTTCCCGAACGCGCTCAGAGCGTTCCGGAAAGCCCTTGAACGGATTGATGCTCGTCCTCGCTCCGTCCGGCATTTTCCTCTTCGACGCCGAGGAGAAGGAGGAGGAGGAGGAGGAGGAGGCGGAAAAGGAGGAGAAGGATGAGGAGGAGGAGAAAGAGGAGGAGGAGGAGGAGGAGAGGAGGAGAGGAGGAGGAGGAGGAGGAGGAGGAGAGGAGGAGGAGGAGGAGGAGGAGAGGAGGAGGAGGAGGAGGACTCGAGATGGAGGGCAGCGCGGTCGACTTCGCCGCCGCGCCCCCTGCCCGCGCCGACCGCGCAGGCCTCGTGAGGTCGCGGGCCCGCCCCAGACACAGGGCGGGACTCCTCCTCACTGCCACCTCCAGGGCAGAGTACTTGCTGCGGGGCCGCGCCCCCGCGTCGGGCCGCGCGGCTGCGCGGGCCTCGCGAGGTCGCGGGCCCACCCCAGAGATTGGGCGGGCCTCCACCTCGCTGCCTCCCCAGGGCAAGAACAAAATCTCAGAGGTCGCTCGCCCGCCCCAGGGACAAGGCAGGCCCCCGCCTCGCTGCCGCTCCAGGGCAGAGCGTGCTGCGGGGCCGCAGCCCCGAGCCACGCAGACAGGCACGCTGTCGCCTCCCAGCTGCGGCACGTAGTATCAGGCCGCCGTGTGGCGGCGCGATCCCATCTGGCCAGTTCTGGCCCGCCTTGGGTGGTAGCCCTTCGCGTACTCGTCGTAGGGCCGTCTCTCCACTTGGGGTGATCTTGTCCCTGCGCTCCTTCGCCGACAGATTCACCCTGTCATGCCCTTCACCACGATGCGAGGCCAGCATCGCACAATTCCATCACCAGGAGTGCCCATGAGCGACCGCTATCTCGTGGCTCATGTGCATGATCTTGTCTTTGATCTCGACCATCTCGTTGTTCGGCACTGGCGCAGCATGTCCGTGGTCAGCCCGATGGTTTGCATAAAGCCGCCACGTGCATGCACTCGCTTTCATCCAATCAACGACACTGTACTTGCCAGGCGACAGCCAGTACGCTTGGCACACCAATTGGCCTTCTGTCTCTGCATGTGATGTCCTGATTCACGTTAAACGTGGCGATGCCATTCGCGGGCCATCTTGCTTCGAGCTTGCATTGGTCGTTCGTGCTCGGCGGGGTCGGCGTCCTTGCATATGTCATGCACGATGGCGGCTGCTCTGCGCTGGGCACGCATGAGCAGGGTCTCGATTTCCATTAGCTGCTCGTCTTCGCCACGTGAGTCTGCGATGGCTAACTCCGGCCCAAGTTGCGCCGAAGTCTCTGCCAACTCGCTGCCCAAACTGGTCTCGAAGCATTGCCCCGACTGCTCGGTGGACTCTTGGCCGAGATGCGAGAGGCACTCGATCATCAGCACTTGATGGGCTCCTCCAGGACGCTGGATTGAGCAGCACCTGCCCAATCCGTTGCCGCCATACTCGTAGCTCCTTGGGGTCGTAGGTGATACTGTTGGAACCGCCCATACATGACCTGCTGGCAGTCGGTTTGGATCGCGATCGGGTCCCTGGGCATCGCTCGGACGTCCATTCCCTGTGTCTTTTTCGGCTTCGTGCGTGTTTTTTTGGCCGAATGACCAAGGATGCTCCTCGATGGCCCTCGCCGAAGGAAAAATGCACACGTCCGAGCGATGCCAAGCGACATATAAGCTACAACGTAGGGAGTGGTTCATGTGTGAAGGGCGGCAGTGAGCGACATATCAGCTACAATGCTGGGAGGAGGAGTTCATACGCGGGGGAGGCAGCGGCAGTGCACGTTCTCACTGCGAGGAGTGTGAGGCAGGGCAGGGCGTGCGGTCGAGGCAAGCCAGCCCCACGACGCCCGCCGCAAGGCGAGAGCCAGGGTGGAGGCGAGCGAGGCAGAGCCAGGCCCCCGGCATGACCATCGCTACGAAAAGATCGCGATCGGGTCCTTGGTGAGGGCTGGGCCCAGAACAGACCCGAGACCTCCCCGTGGCGGGCGCGCTCTGCTCGCCGCCCACGGCGCCAGAGAGCCCGCTGTGGCCCGGGGGATGCCGCCCACGACGCCACGGAACCCGCCCAAGATCCCATGCAGTCGGGGCCTTGACCCAAGGAGCCCAAAATAAGGAACGAGGCCCCCTTTTTCCACAAGTTAGATTTCGATTGCCGATCGAAGACATCAGGAAAACCTCAGGCAAGCTGCGAAACACAGAAGGAACGCGGAGCCCCTCCCCAACGAAAAGGGTTCCTTCTTCAGGGCCCCGACTGTTGGCAAAAAAATCTCGACGGAAGTTTTGTCTTTCCTTGACCTCTTTAAAATTCGATTCCTGGAAATTCAACGTTTCGTTAGAACTCTAATATTTCCCCCCCATCTTCGATCTTATTCCCGCTCGCCATCTTAATCTCAGCTCGATCGGGTACCTACTACTGCCAAAGAGCATTGGGTTGTGGATCCATCTCCCGAAATGAGGTCGCGGCACCGAAGTCGGTCAGGTCCCGGTTGGTATTCTAGCCTCTCGTGTCGAAATTGCAACGCGAGACCCCGCCCGGCCCTTTTGATGCGCTCGTCGTTGCTGGTTCCCGAGCCACGCGAAGGCCTTGGTGCAGCTGATGGGGTCGATGGTTATCGGCCCCCGAGAAATGACCTGTGGGCCTTCACCCGCAGTAGTCCAGTAGCTCCCACCCGAATCTCCCCAAGCTGGCGGCTCTGGCACCGGATTCCGATGTCGCGGTACCAGCCCTCGTAGCTCCGCGTCGGGGTCCTCGTGCATTTCCTCGAACACCTTCCTGCAAACCGCTTGAGGTTTGACGGCAGCTTCGATGGAGAGGTTGTCGTTCGTCTCGCACTCGTAGATCCCATGTGCAAGCGTGCCCGCCGACTATGAGCACCTCGGGCGGATTCCATCTGTCTGATACCCGGCCCCGTTGCAGCGTTGTCCCGTCCAAACAGTGCCGCATGTTACTGTCTCTAGAGCTCCAGCCTCTTGTCCTCGATCGGCCTTCCGTAGTCTCTGCAGGGTCTTCTCGAGCATGGTGGCGTCCATGTCATGCTGCATGCCCTTGCCGCAGTAGTGGTCCTTCACCTTCTTCCACAGCTGGGCCTCCATGTCCATGGCGATGGCCTCCATGATTCCCTTGAAGTCGAATTCTCCGCTGTCGAGGATCTGCCAAATACTGCCTCTTAGGTCCTCCCGTTCGTTCCCAAGCGACCCTCCAGAGGCCGCGAGACGCCTCCAAAGCCGCCTCCAAGAAGCTTCCGAAAGAAGGCCTCTCAGAGAGCTCTGGGACCGTGCCGGCCAACCAGGAAGATGAGGCGCCCGTGCGCCTCTGATTTTCTCCCCTCCTTTGCAAAGGCTCCGGTCTGCATTTCTCGCCTCTTCGGAGCCCCCACGCCCCGAGGCCTCGCGAGGGGTGCTCTGGAGGCCGGGGCCTGCATGGACCTGGGCATCCTGGGGGGCACCTCGGGCACCAGACCCCCGACGTCGCTCTTTTCACAGCGGCGACCCCCAAAGGCGTCTGGACCCCTTCCCCGGGACCGGTTTCTCGCCCCGAATCGTTCTGCTGGCGGCCCCGAGGCCCGGCAAGGGCTCCCGGAGGCCGAGAGCAGCGAGGAGCCGCGCGCGGCGGCGGCTGCGCAGCGCGAGGGGGGGCGGGGGCTTCGGGCAGCACCCGACGAGACTCGGGCAGGGACCGGCACCCCAACAGGTTCTAAGAGCCAAACAGTGCCCTTAGTGCACAGGCCCGATGCGCTAATTAGAGCACGGCAGCCCCATCCAGAAGTGTTCTGGGAACATGCTGCGCGGACCACAAGAGGCTCTCGGAAGTTCGAGGGGCAACGGTAGGGGGGGATAGGCGGAGGGGGGGATGCATCGACCTGGAATCGGCGATGCATCGCCGATAGGTCGGCGATAGGCTCCCGATCGTGAATCCGCACCTTCCTGGGCGGGGTGGGGCTATCGGGTCCCTACCGGCGATCAATGAGTCATTGCGGGTCGATGCATCCCCCCTATGCCTATATCCCCCCCTATCGTTGCCCCTGAAGAACACTCTTCGGTGCGCCCATAGGTCAGCCAGGACGCTTCGCCACTGCTTGAGCCGCGAGGGGGCCCGGGCTCCCAGCAACGCCCGACCTGACGCCGCTGGAGGGATCCCGCAAGCTTCCGCAGGTCCGTTCCTGGCTCGCGCGCGGCAGCAGGCCCATGGGCGCGCCCACGCGCCCATCGGCGGCGACGACGACGACGCAAACGAGCGACGACGACGCCGCCGCCGACGACGATGAGAACGAGGACGAGGACGAGGACGACGACGACGACGACGAGGACGAGGACGACGACGACGACGAGGACGAGGACGAGGACGACGACGACGACGACGACGACGCCGGCGGCGGCGGCCCGCCGGCCGGCGCCGAGGGCCTCGGCACGCCGACTCGAGCCGCAGCGTGCTCGCCGGCGTCGGCGCCCGCTTCGTCGGCCCCGCCGCCGCCGGCCAGCACGCCGCCGCGGAGGCCACCGCGAGCCAGCCCGCCGCCGGCATCGGCGGCGCTGAGGGGCAGCGTTGGGGGGGGGACCTCCTCCTCCTCCTCCTCCTCCTCCTCCTCCTCCTCCTCCTCCGCCTCCTCCTCCTCCTCCTCCGCCTCCGCCTACTCCTCCTCCTTCTCCTCCGCCGCCGCCGCCTCCGCCTCCGCCTCCGCCTCCGCCTCCGCCTCCGCCTCCGCCTCCGCCTCCGCCTCCGCCTCCGCCTCCGCCTCCGCCTCCGCCTCCGCCTCCGCCTCCGCCTCCGCCTCCGCCTCCGCCTCCTCCTCCTCCCTCCTCCCTACTATCCCTCCTCCCTCCTCCTCCCTCCCTCTCCTCCCTCTCCCTCCTCCCTCCTCTCGCCTCCTCCCTACTCCCTCCTCCCCTGCCCCCTCCTCGCCTCATCCGTCCTCCTCCTTCCTCCTTCCCTCCTCACTCCTCCTCCTCCTCCTCCCTCCTCCTCCCTCCTCCCTCATCCCTCCTTCCCTCCTCCCGCCTCCCTCCTCCTCCCTCCTCCCTCCTCCCTCCTCCGCCTCCGCCCTCCTCTCCTCCTCCTCCTCCGCCTCCTCTCCGCCTCCTTCCTCCTCTCCTCCTCCCGAAACCCCCCCCTTTCTCCTCCTCCTCTCCCCTTCCCCTCCCTTCTCCTCCCCCTCCCCTTTCCTCCTTCCTGCCCCTCCCCGTCTCCCTCCCCTCCTTCCCCTCCCATCCCCCTCCATCCCTCCCATTCCCTCCCCTCCCCTTCCCTCCCCCTCCCCTCCGCTCCCTCCCTCCCCTCCCCTCCCCTCTCCTCCCTCCCCTCAACTCCCTCCCTCCCTCCTCCTCCTCTCCTCCTCTCTTCCTCCTCCTCTTCCTCCTCCTCTCCCCCCCCCCCCTCCCTCCTCCTCCTCCTCCTCCTCCTCCTCGTCTAGCCATGTTCCGACCCAGGGGCCTGCGCGCGGGGTCAGGGTGTTCCGAGGGGCCAAGCTCGAGAGTTAGGGTGGCCCCCGGGAGCCATGCAAACGCCTCGTTTCTGAAGGCCAGCGGCCGTGCGCGGGCTCAGTCGCCGGAGAGCCGTCCAGAAGGTGGGGCGTCCCAGCCTCCAGCCTCCGCCACCGCGACCGTATGTAGGAGGAGGAGGAGGAGGAGGAGGAGGAGGAGGAGGAGGAGGAGGAGGAGGAGAAAGAGGAGGAGGGAGGTGGAGGAGGGGGAGGGGGGGGGGGGGAGGAGGAGGAGGAGTGGGAGGAGGAGGAGTAGGAGGAGAAGGAGAAAGGAGAAGGAGAGAGAAGGGAAGGATGAGTAGGAGGAGAGGAGGAGGAAGATGAGGAGTAGGAGGAGGAGGAGGAGGAGGAGGAGGGGAGGAGGAGGAGAAGGAGAGGGAGGAGGAGGAGGAGAGGATGATGATGAGGATGAGGATGAGGATGAGGATGAGGAATGAGGAATGATGATGAGGAGGAGGAGGAGGAGGATGAGGAGGCGAGGGGAATAGGGAGTAGGAAGAGGAGGAGGAGGAGGAAGGAGGAGGAGGAGGAGGAGAGAAGGGCAGGAGACAAAAAAAAAGGAAGGAGGAGGGGGAGGAGGAGGAGGAGGAGGAGGAAGAAGAACAATAATAACAAGAAGAGGAGGAGGAGGAGGAGGAGGAAAGGAGGAGGAGGAGGAGGAGGCCCTCCCTATCCTCCCTTCTCCCCCATCCTACATGTGGTAGTGGTGGTGGAAAACTGGCCCATACCTTTCCCTCTCTCTCTTTGCACTGCTCTTTCACCTCCCGATGCCCAGCCGAGGTCCTCGGACAGTGTGCAAGGAGACGCTGGTGCTCCACACAGTCAGCTACAGCGCAGGAATCAGCGCAGCAGTGCGAGAGCAAGTCAGCCACAGCGCTGGGATCCACTCGTGCGGGAAGGGCG